TCTGTGGTGCCAGGAGAGGCAGGAAGCCTGCCATAGCACCCTGCTGTACGCTGACTGGGAACCGCTCAAGGTAAGCCCCTCCTGCTCCAGCCCTGGCCCCAACAAGCCAGAACCCACTTCTACACCCCAAAGTTCTCATCCTCAGCCCCATCCAAAATAGGGATGTAAAATTTAGGTTATTTTAGTAATTGAGTGGTTGATAGAATTATTGGCTACTCAATAGGGGAAGGGAGCTCCACTCCTTTCCAGCTCACGCCAGGACCAAATCCCACTGCAGCTCATTCCTGGCTTGCACCTAGTCCTAGACTTGCCTCTGCTTTTTAAATGTATTAAGAGTCGATGGAAGCTCTTAATACATTTATTAAGAGCTCCCGCTTATCGACTAGCCGATGGAAAAATCCATTGACTAGTCGATTAGTTGATTAAACTAAATCTAACATCCCTAACCTGTATGGTTCTTATTTTTGAAGGTCTATTCCATTCAGAGCTGGTTTAGAAAGTTGTCATTGTTTATCTTTAACTTCTTTTGGTTTTCTCCATCAAACTCATTACACAACTATTATCTGTATTGTGACTGTCAACTACAGTGAGAGAAATATAGGTAATTAACATAATTAAGGCAAAATTATTAGAGAAATCCTAGACTGACCTGGGTCACAGAGGGACATGAACTTTCAGCAAAGCTCCTGCTGCCTCAGACCAGCTCCACTTCCCCAGCAACACAAGCTCCAACTTTACCCCTTGCTGCCCTATGATGATATATACTAGTGTCTCTAAATAAAATGTAAACTTCATCTTTTATACATCTCTCCAAATAATAACTTTGGATCTTAATGGTGTTTGCCTAGCATTTTAAAACCCATTTTTCTCCCAGAGCAATTGTTCTACTTTCCTGATATTATCCTTGTAGTCTGCTGCTAGTATTTCTTTTAGAGCAATTGCTTGTTTCCCTTGATATTCTTTATCCAGCATTTCTGTTAATAGATCTCTCAGAGCTATTTATGCATATAAAAATGTTCTTTCCAAACATTTACTGCTAAAAATTCAGCATCATTCTATTTTTAATATCTTAGTAAGTTTTCATCCATGTTAAAATTCTGCCTCTATAGGTTTGTTCTATACTGACAAGCTATCTTAGAATAACTTACTTCTTGAGTTTTTGCAAGAAAACTAGCAACCTTCCCCCCAATGCTTCCTTCATTACTCTTGAAATTTCTCCTTTCATGTGATATTCCTGACCACCTGTCATTCTGCATTTTCTCACATGTATGTCTATTACATCCACCTTCAGGGTCATCAGCTCCCCTGTCTTGTATAGGCTTACTTATGAACTTAAGCCATTCATTCAAGGATCTCAAGCATTAAATAGATGCTAATTAAGTTTTCCATTCATTATTTGAGGTGTCTTATTGAACTCATGTATAAATTAACTTGGTACACATAGTCAACAGTGCAATTTGAGATTGCAGCTTAAAGAATTTAATGAACTACAAGCATACTTATGATGTGGCCTATCATGAAATATGTTACAATGAGAGGATCTGGTTAGTCTCCTCACATTTAAAAAGTTCATTGTATAAGGGCTATTAAAATGTTTTTCAGAAATAATTAATCTAACAGTTTTCTTACATTGGCTGAATGTGAATTTATATGGTAAGCTAACGACTTTGAATATTTTCTGGTAAGAGATAATTTCAGAAGCACTGATGTTAGGAAACCGAGTGATTATGTATTCTGTAAATCCTAGGTGAAGCCAATGGAGCAACTCATGAATGAGATCTGGCCACTAGAAGACTTAATTGGAGAAATGTAGTTTTGACCATACATCTGTTTACGCTATCAGTGCCTTGTCTCTTCCATTTGTTGTCTTCACTTCATAGGAAAATGGTCCTTTCTAAATGAAGAATGGAAATTACTTTTCTGTTGTTCTGTTTACGTTGTTGAAGTATTAGGCTTTGTCTATGCTAGCAAGGTTTGTTGAGGAAAAATGCCTTTTTTGTCAACAAAACAGTTTGAGTGTTCATAGTGCAAAACAACTTTTGTCAAGAGAAACAGCTATTTTCGTTGACAAAAACCTTCCAGGTCCACTTTTGTCTTTTTCCCTCCCTTTGTTATCAATGCACATGCAGCATAGACTCCTTGAGGCAATATGTCTCAGGAAATGATTCTGGCTATAGAAAGTGACCCACAATTTCCAGTCAGTTCATTGTATGAAGTCAGACCTTGCTTAATTTACATTGGAAATGTAGTCAATCCTGCAAAGCAACCTTTCTTTGTCAAGCACTCACTGGACTTAGGCACTGGCTGCCAAATACTTTTGAGGGACATATTTACAGCACATTTGTATAGCTTTTAACATATCAACCATTCATGCATCATACAAGAATATTAATGATCAGTGAGGTACTAGTTTGAATATATTCTGCTTACTAGTGAGTTACTATTTTTTGATACATGACACCTTTTAAATATGACAAGAGTGCGTGAGTTGCACACAAAGGTGGGTTGGCCAATTGAGACACATTGCTATATACCAGGAAGCCCCTTGCACTGTGGCATTGGGATATTCTTAGAGCATGTAGGGCCCCCTCTCATAATGGATTATTTATCCTCCATGTTAGACCATGTTTTTTCTTGGAACAGTCCACTGGTATAACTGTATTTGCAAAGTTGCACTTCCATTGATGTAGTTGTTGTTATTGTCATCCACAAACAAAACAACTACAACAGTAGGGGCTACGTCTACACTGGCCCCTTTTCCGGAAGGGGCATGTAAATTTCAGCAGTCGTCGTAGGGAAATCCGCGGGGGATTTAAATATCCCCCGCGGCATTTAAATAAAAATGCCCGCCGCTTTTTTCCGGCTTTTAAAAAAGCCGGAAAAGAACGTCTAGACTGGCCCCGATCCTCCGGAAAAAGTGCCCTTTTCCGGAGGCTCTTATTCTTACTTCAAAGTAAGAATAAGAGCCTCCGGAAAAGGGCACTTTTTCCGGAGGATCGGGGCCAGTCTAGACGCTCTTTTCCGGCTTTTTTAAAAGCCGGAAAAAAGCGGCGGACATTTTTATTTAAATGCCGCGGGGGATATTTAAATCCCCCGCGGATTTCCCTACGACGACGAGTGAAATTTACATGCCCCTTCCGGAAAAGGGGCCAGTGTAGACGTAGCCTTGATGTAGCTGAAGTTGCATAGCTTATTCCGACTATAGTCCTGTGGTATAGATGCACCCTGAGAGAACACCAAATATCTGGAATGAACTTTTTTTTGCCAGAATAACTGTCTACACTAGGACAGTGGTGGGCAACCTGTGGCCTGTGGGCCACCTGTGACCCACTGGGACTCCACCTGTAGCCTGTAGACCTCTTGGCTGCTCCCCTCCCCCATATATCTCTCATGCACTGGGGCACAGGAGTCCCACACTTCCCTTCCCTCCCATCACTTTAAAAGCACGCAAATCGTCTGATTTGCACGTGGTCTGAGCTCCTTCCCCTTCCTCCCTCCCTCCCTCCCAGAGCTGGAATGCCGTGAACAGCTGATTTGACATTGGAGATGCTGCAGCCCACTGAGGTGTGAAGGAGGGCAACTCATGCAGCTCGCTCACTCACTGTTTGTGGTTGCCCATCCCTGCACTAGGGGCTTCTGCAAATACAACTGGGTCAGGGATCAAAACCTCTTTGCATTCCTGATTGATGTAGAGATGTAATAGTGTAGTCCAGTGTTTCCCAATTTTATTTGGCCACGGAACCCCTAGGGATGCCTTAAAAAAAAAAAAAAGGCCCCCACAGCATTTCGTCAAGCAGGGTTCCATGGAGCATGAATTGGGAAACACTGATGTTGTCAATTAACCAATAAGCAAAAGCTTACAGGTTAATGCAATAGACTACACACATTTCCCTTCTCCCTCCCCCACCCCCCATACACACACACACTTGCCAGTAAATTTTTTAGCAGGCTGGCCAGCATTCGTCCTGGCTTGAAACGGATCCGGGACCTATCCCTGCTGCAGCTCAGCATTTAAAGTGTATTAGGAGCTGGGCAGGCAGGCAGCCTGGCTCAGTTCTGGGTTACACCAGGTCTGGGAGCTCAGACATCCGCCCCCCCCGACAGGCTGCTGCCACCCCATGTTGCTGCCTCTTTATCAGAGGTAGCAGCACACAGCAACAGGAAGCCAGTCCGTGAGGGGATCTGGTTTTTAAACTGCCTCCCCTTGTGAACCAGTTCCTGTTTGGCACCCTGCACTGCTGCTGCAGCACCATGCAGTGGCAAGGGGCTCCTCAGGAGTGAGGCTGGAGCATACTGACTGCTGGCCCTGCCCCCAGGGACTATAGAATAGTCGACTAACTGATAAGAATTCTTGAGGTTCCTTGACTATTCAATTAACCAATATTTAACATCCCTAGATTGATGCAACTAGGCCAACAGATGTTCGTAGTGTAGACATAAGTTTAGTTTAGCTTCATGTACTTTGTCAAATATCTTGATGTTGAATACAGCCGCTCCCCGAGTTGTGGTCGAGTTACGACCGTTCACACTTACGACCAAAGCTCCCATGGAGCGGTCGTAAAGGCAGTCCCCGAGTTACGAACGCAACGTGCGCTTATGAACAGCATGATCGCGTGTAACTCAATGGGTTCCGAGTTACGAACAGCTCGAGTTATGGCCAAGTGTTTGGTCCGTAACTCATTTGTAACTTGGAGAGAGGCTGTAGTTTGCAGTACAAATAGCAGTTACATCAATATTTGTTATTTAAGGTGTGAAATGACATGAAAACCTCTCATTTTTATTTTCTCATGGAATTCTATAGGCTAGGTCATTCAAATGAGCAATGATTTTTTTTAGACAGAGCTTCAGGCAGTGGAATCTATTTGTATTTGGAATGTCAACTATTTAGATTATCTTTTAATTGAAGTGTGTTGTGCAATTATGATAGTTGATAATGAGGCTTACTTACTATTGTAATGATATTTGCTACCTGCTAATTCGCTGTGTGTTTCTACTTTTAGTTTCTCTGTTTTGGGGATTTGTCAAAGATGAACTCAGATGATTGCATGTCTTGGAGTGGAATTAGTATCCTTTCAAATAACCTCGCGAAGGAATCTTATAATTTATTATACACGTTTATATACAGTAAATATGATTTTGATATTTACTAGTTGATGCAAACTTTAGCCTCTAAAAATTGAGGCTTTTTGATTAAGTGGTGTTTGTTAGCATTTTGAAGAAAAAATATGTGAAGTGCCAAGTTATAAACACATTTGACTACAAATTATAATACCTTAATTCATTTCTGTAACTAATACAGAAGATACTTTTAGCTAATAAGAGCTGACAAATGTTTTAGCACAATCCTTTTATTAGGGCAGGTCTAAGTTTAAAATATGCACAGGAGTGTTTAGAGTTGAAACATTTTACAAATATATTAATCATTTGTGATATATATTTTGTATTTTGCACTGTAAACTGTAGACAGTAAAGCTGCTGGTTGTTTTGTTGCTTTTGATAGCATTACACTATTTGGATTGCATGTAGTTTTGAATTATTTCGAAATCCCCTTCCCAAAACTGTTCATTGGATTAAAATTGATCACTGAGCACTTGTATTAATTAGGGATATTAGATAGCGGGTAATAGAATAGTTGACTAACTGCATAAATTATGGACAGGGGCTGCTGCCACAAAGCAGTCTCTGCCCTCAGTGGGCCTGGGCAGAGGCTGTTCTATGAGATGTGGAGCAGCTTTTGCCTGCGGCGAGCTTGGATCCACCGCAGATGCTGCCATGTAGCCCACTGCGGGCAGAGTAAGGATGCTAAGAAGCGGGTAATTGACTAATCATGTACTCAATAAAATTTGTATTGAATACACAATTAGTCAAAAAGAGACCCTGCTGCAGCTCTACAGTTTAAATGTAGTAGGAGCCGGCACGCAGGCATCCTGGCTCCTACTACATTTAAACTGCAGAGCTGCAGCGGGGGTAGGTCTGTATCCTACTATACGTCGAGTCCTGGGCTGCTGCACCTCTGCTTTTTAAGTCTAGTAAGAGCCGCTTGCCCCTACTGTGGCTCTGCCTTTTAAATGTAATAAGAGCCAGGTGACTCTAGCTACATTTAAAAAGCAGAGGTGCACTGGTCAGGCTCATGCCGGGTCCCGGGACTCAGTAGCCATGGCTTACACTGGTTCCCGGACCACTGCTCATCTGCCTTCCCTCTTCCCCCTATTCCATGGAGACAGTGCTGGGTGGAGCTGGCTTTTAAGCCGACTCCTCTTAGTACCAGCTCCTGCTTCCCCCTCTTTGCTGCCTTTAATACAGAGGGAGGAATGTGAATTGGGGGGAGGAATGTGAATTGTTGACTAGATTAATCGATAAGCCTAGGCATATCGATTAATTGTCTAGTTGACTACTCGTTGACATCCCTTGTATTAATATTTGTTTGTTATAGTACTACAAACAAAACCTAAAGTATGGCATTCATAAGATTCTTTAACCATTTTATAATTAAGAAGAAATAAATTATATATTTAGTGGTTTTTTTATGCATGTGATTTTTTTTCTTAATTGTGAAGTACATTTTGTAGTACAGGTTGACGCTCTCTAGTCTAGCACTAGGGATGTTAAAAAGCGGTAAATTAGGTAAACATGTAACTGCTGAAAATCTCCGCAGTTACACAGTTCCTGCAGAACCTGCATTGCAGCCAACTCCCTGGGAGCAGAATCAGCAGCCAATGCACACTGGGAGCCAGCTCCAAGGTGCCATCTCTACTCCTGGGGAGCCAGCTGAGCTGCGAGCTCTGCAGTCTAAGCTTTATACTGCAGAGCCTGCAGCGTGGTGCTGCAGCCAGCTCCTGCGGGCTGCCCTGCTCCTAGAGAGTTGATTCATGACAGGAGCCGGCTCCCAATGCACACCAGCTTCTGCCTCTAGCTCTGCTCCTGAGGAGCTGGCTGCCACCTGGTGCTGCTGTCTCTAAAACAGAGGCAGCAGTTCAGGACGGCAGCTGGCTGCCACCGCATCCTGGCTCCTGGCCTGGCTCCCAGCCCCATTCCAAGGGAGTTGTCTGCTGCCTTGTGCTGAGAGCTCTGATACAGGAAGTGGGGCAGAGAGCCTGCGTGTAACCGTTATGCTTATGCTCATGCTTATCAGTTCATTGTTTAAATACTGCTAAATCCTGCAGGACTTGACTGGTGCAGAACCAGCATATTTGCCAAACTATGGGAGGTCAATATTACTTGGGCTCTTGGAAGACATCAGTGGTAAATAACAGTACAGAACACTAAGAGCCAGGACTGTTGGTTGTAAACAAACTTTATGGGACCACAGGATACTTTGCCGCAGCCATGATGAGTGACATCCAGTTAACTAAAATCATGCTGGACCATGGATGTTGCTAGATCAGGGAGTGCCAGATTAGAGTGTTTCAACCTGTACTGCAGTTGCTAAATAAAATCAGATTAAACAAAGATTGTGTCTGTGCCCACCCAAAGGATAAAGAATCTTTTAATTTTGATATGCTAGGATGCTTCTGGATTTGTTTGGGTTTTGCTCACTAATCTTTCTTCAGATATTTTTACATTTTAGACTTTTTTTATTTTTATTCAATCTGTGAAATGATTAAAAGGTGCTAGACTAATACCACCATAAGTGGCCTTTTATCTTTCCTCACATTGTGTTCACTACCTTTTGTTCAATTTCTTTGTTGTTTCTTCTCCAATCTCACGGGGTATGTCTACACTGCATTCATCTTTCGAGAGAAAAATGCAAATGCAGCCAAGCAAAATTACAAACGAAGCATGGATTTGAATTTCCCGTGCTTTATTTGCATGATGGCGTCCAGGTGCTTTTTTGAAATACCCTATTTCAAAAGAAAAAACGCAGTTTAGAGAGGGTTATTTAGAGGAAAAAACCCTTCTTTCGAAATAACCCCTAAACCTCATTTTTTAAGGAGTAAAGTTTATTTCAAAAGAAGGGTTTTTTTTCCTCAGAAAAACCCCACTGTGTGTCCTGCTCTAATATTATGCAGTGATTGCCTCTACACCTACCACAACATATCCCACTATTCTCTTCCTCTAATACTTCTAAAGAGACAGTAGTTTTACTTGGTCAACATGCAGTTATTTCATTGGAGATGAAGGTGCTTAGCACTATGTAATAGTGAATCAGTGTAATCAAAATAGGATTAAGGATTAAGACAAATATGATATTGCATTGTGAAGAACATTACTATTTGAAATATCATATGCACTGCAAAACCTACAGATGCAATCATGATTAAGAATGACTATTCAGTCTTAATTTTGTTGCTTTTGTGGGTTTATAAACCAGTTGGGATACATCTTTAAAGTACTGCATAAGTCTTTATTTTGTGATTCCTGTTAAAGCAGTGGCTGTTGCATAGGTACTCAAAATGTGAACCTTTTTTCACTACCATCTCTAGTCAGTCAAAACCAGTTAATTAAATTTTGCATTTTAATTCAGATACCTTGGCACAAATAAAAAAGCCAGTGATTTGAAGTACTGTAGAAACACTAGAATATCAGGTGACGTGTATATCGCTCTGTGACCGCATGTAACGAAAATGGATCATAGTTTACCTTTTACCTTCCACTAAACAAGCTAGCAAATGGAGGAGGAATGGAAGGTATCAAGACGAAAGATTCTTTAATTTTCAACAACTCCAAAATGTTAAGAAACAAATAGAGGGCCCTGTGTGCTCAACTTAATCATGTAGACTAGGGATGTAAAGTCCTGTTCAATTGGTTAAACATAGTATTTAACTGATTTAAAGGCGGGGGGCGGAAGCCGGTGGGCCAGCTGGAGTGGCCCCCTCATTGTAGGGGGCCTGGGCCTGCTGTGGACAGGGGCTGCTCTGACCTGGCTGGAACACTCCTATGCTCAGTGGGCCTGTGGGATTGGAGCAGCTCCCTGTTGGGGTGGGGAATGGAAGCTAGCTGCTCCAGCCCTTACCAGTTAACTGGAACTGGTAAGTGTCAGCCATTAAGGGTAATGCTTACCGGTTAACCTTTCACATCTCTAATGTAGACATCCATAAATGAATAACAGAAAGGCAGAGGCATATGCTGCATTTTCACTTTTAACTCCCTGTCTTGTTAAACCAAGTTATAATCTGAATAAACAAACTGGGCTATATCTATGTTCTGGTTTTGATTAAAATTAAATTTTGCATGAGTGAATTTTAAGGGCTTCCTTACTGGAGATGTGTTAGACTTTAAGATGTACTTTCATGTGTTAATATTGACAGGTGGAACATTGTTCAAATTGTCCTTGAACTGCACATATTACCCTTAATTCAGGATGCATCCAGACTTATCTCCTCACCTGCACAGTGAAGAATGCAACCTAGTTATCAGTCTGCTGAAAGAATGTCATAAAGAGGTAAGTGTTTTGAGAAGTAAAACAAGTGTGTGCGGGCAAATATGTCAGTATGTTAGTGAACATATTATGTCATCATAGAGTGAGCTCTCTCCTTCTGGCAGAACAAAGAATTGTTCTTCCTTTCTGTCTCACGTGTACTAAATTCACCATATTTTGGCCACCAGAAGGCAGATGGTTCAGTCTATTTGTAAGTAGATGCTCTGGGCATATTTAAAGTGATAAGAAAATGCAGAGTGCCTGACTCAGCACATGTGCCTGACACTGTGTGGAGAACTGAAAATGTAAACACTTGCTCAGGTTTCAGGGATTTCAGTGAAATCTAGTGTTTCCATTCTGTATTTTAAGAATGGATCAACTAGCAGCATCTAAAGATATACACTACAGATTTCTGTGAAGTGGCTGAGAAGTTCTTTTTTTTTTCCAAGCAAATAGAAACTTGAGATTTCTATATCAAGACCTAAAAAGTCCATTTAATTTTAGTTGTCTTTGATGAGAATGAAGAATAAATTTAAATATCAAATTTTAATGAGCAAAACAATGTTTTTTATATGTTCAACGAACAACTTGAGATAAACATACATAAACTTGAGATGAACCACAGTCACATAGAAGACTGACAAGAACTTTAACCTGCACTGAAGAGAAATGGTGAAATTAACTACAAAGCAAGCTGCTAGATTTTTTTTTCCCCAACTAGTTTTAGTCCCTAGATGTTAATTATATTTCTAGTACATGCACAAATTTTTCAATTTGATCATTTAGCCAACAGAATAAAATTAAAAATGGCTGTAATTTATAAATCACAACAAAATATTCTTAGTACAGAGTTAGTTTTAAATGTGTTTTACAAGTAATGTTGGTATAATGCCATGTCATATTCTACTTGGTTTTGCTTGACAAAATAATGTTTGCATCATGTCAGCACTTGCATTAAGATGTGAAGAGGCATAATAGACACTTCCATTTAAGAAATGATGAATATCCATTTGTATATACATGATCAAGGGCCACTTCTGTGAAGTGGTGTCAGTAAAATTGTAATTGAGAATGAATGGTCTGAACATTTATGTGACAGTTCTGTTGGGTCTTTGAAGTCCTTTGAATATGAAATATTAGAGGCTAGTTTTGATACATTGGCAATAGATGAATGTGGGACTTTTCTACTGACATTCTTTTGGCTTCGTATGTCTTTCAGGTGCCATAAATTATGTGAAATCATTGCAATAGTACTGACAATTAAAATATACAAAAACTTTTGGTTATGCTATTTTAGCTATTCATACCCTATATAATCTACAGTTATTTTAAAAACCCTACTCAATTTTCTTCTCATGTTTCAAAATAGTAAGGCACTATTTCACAGTAAAAGGCACCAGTATTTCTAACTTTTAAGTTTATAAATACATATTCTAATTAAACCTAATAAAAAGTGTGATCTCCTCTTGAAAATGAGATAGAGCTAGGAAAACTAGGAGATATGGTTTTCGTTCTTCTTTGCTGTCAGAGGTTAAGTGAGGGGGGATGACAGTTACACCACCAGGCAAGCTCTCTGGCCTTGTTTGCACTAAACTACTGTATTGCATACCGGCCAATGCAAGCATCTTGTTAAGGTTAGTAGGTGTGTGCAACCATTCTCGTGTTTGGTGGTTTACTCTAAATAAATTGCACAAAAGATTAAGCAAACATGTCAAATATTTGTCAGAGTAATATATTAATTTGCATGGGTTTTAATTGCACTAAAATGATGACAGTTAAGTCTAATATTGTTTCACTGTGAAAATAAATGAAGGAATATCCTCCTTCATTACAGCATAGAGGCCTAATTCAGGTATTTTGGGGAAGATTTTGATAACTTTCTTCTGATACTAGTTTTAATCAGAATACCACAAATAGCTCCTGTGCTTTCAGTGGGACTGCTCACGTAATAAAAATATTACCCATCTTGAATAAGAGATCAGAATCTTGTTCTTTGGGAGTGGTTGGCTGGTTGTAGAGTCTCTATAAATAGTCTTGTGGCAACTATCCAGTCTTAACCCACAGAAATTAGTAATTTTTTCCATTTTGGATTATTGCTTCAATCTACCCTTTAAAATAGGGAGAATCTGAAATTTACTGCTGCTGAAAGCTCTCTGTTTCTGCCTAAATGTGCGCTGTCCTGTTTCAAACGTTAAGTGGGGATTGTTTAGTAAACATTTTGATACTACAGGTTGGACCTCCCTGGTTTGACATCCTCGGGAGCTGACTAGTCCCGATCAAGTGGATTTACTGGACCAGGGGAAGTCCCTCCCCTCCTGGCCTGTGCTAAAACAGTGCTGCTCCACCCCCTCCTCCACTAGGGCTGCTGCCTGCCCTGCTGCTGCCTGGCCAGGCCTCTCTCCCTGGGCTGGAGATCACCAGCTCACACTTTTGCTTCCAGGGTCAGAGCTCTGAGACCTTGGCCGGGGCTGGAGCTTGGCAGCCAAAGCTCTGCTGCCAGGGCAGCACAGCCAGGGTCAGAGATTCCTGGCTGCTGCTGGGGCAGGAGCTATACAGCAGTTGCCAGCCCCCTGCTACTGCCCAGGTGCTTGGGCCAGATCTCCCTGCTGCAGTGCCACCTTCCCCTCCAAGGCTCCCGGCTGAGTTGCTGGCCCCTGTGCCATGCTTCTACCCCTTAGCCAGATTCCCCATACCTGGTCTCTGTGTTGCAGGACCAGAGAGTCTCAGTTAAGGGAGGTACAACCTGTATGATAGTTCTAACTCTGCCCTCATGGGAACTTGAACAGTTCAGTGGGCATTATCGTCCCAAACTACTTATTATGTTGTGTGACCCGCATCTTCCCTAATTTAGCTTATTAAACACAAGAGGTGAGTTTTCATTCACAACTTAGGTAATCAGACCAATTTCTCTAGAAGTCCCTTAGAAGATAAGATCCAGTACTGAAGGACATACTTCATTAATTTCCATACAAGTTTTGCTTTGAATTTAGGAACAGATAATTGCTGTTGAAGACAGTCATTTACCACAAAAGTTTGTTTCATTTGTGTTGCTTGCTCATTATTTTAAAGTCCTAGTCCACCAGAATCTGTTATTGAAGTTCTCCCTTAATACTATTTGACCATAGTATGCTCTCTTCTAAATCTTCAATTCCTGTGCACTCTAAATTCTTGAATCTGTGATGAGGGAGCCTTGCCTAGAATAGCTTCAAGTTCTTAAATTGGAATGGAGAGTCTGCATTTCCTCCGAATTCTGCAGCCTCATTTGTCTGTGCAGACTAAATGATCTAGATATTGCAGGGGCCTACCGTTTTTCTCAGCCAATTTAATTAAAAGCAGTTGGATTATAGCCAGGTACTTAATAACTAAAACCAGGTTAGGAAGTTCCTCTCTCCCCCATATCAGCTGCAGCATTATCAAAGGAGGTTGCCAATAAAATGATAGCTGCTCACGTTTAATAGGCAAGTAGAAGTAAAACCAAAACACATTTTTATCTAGACAGTGCATAATCCTAATGTCTGGATTTTGTAATCTTTTAAAAAATGAAAATAGCAGGCAGGTGAAAAGGGTGGGAGAGAAGAAAATGAGCTCCCCTTTTGGCTTGTTCTGCTTAGAGGTGTGTAAACTGATTTGACTAATAAGCTTTGGCCAGAAAATACTGTTGTATTGTTGGAATTGTTAATTTGCTTTCATCTTACAATTTTATATTGTATAGGTTGGCACAGTCTTACAGCATTATCCATGAACTTTGGAAAGAACTTTATTTGAATATGCTCTTCTACTTGAGCTCCTGGGCAACAGTAATTTTAATGGGGTCACTGCCTGTCTAAGCTATTAAAGGATTAAACGTAATGACACTAAAATGATGCAAAGGATCAACCTGTACTGAAAGTTTCAGATCTATATATATATATATATATATATTTTTTTTTTTTTCAGAATGCATTCTTAGTTTGACTGAAAAACAATTTATCCTTAGGTAGAGAAGGACTTAATTGTTTCAGCTTTGTAAATAACTATGACAAGAGAGGTGTTGGCACATTCTTTGAGTTTCTGCTGTGAAGAAAAAATATTTATCAAACAGTTCCGTCATAAGGAAATGTTTTTTCTCCTTAAAATTTAATAATATGAGTATCTTACTTTTGGAATTTTAGATTTAACTGACTTTGCACTCTGACTAAGTCACTGATAGCTCTGCCAACATTTAACTAAATTGTTTACTTCTTTGTAGCTGAACTCAATATTCTTAAAAGGGATAACTTGAATTGGGCAGCCTGGCTATATTTTTCCACAGAACTCAATTGAATATATTTCAGTGATGACCAAAACACGTCTACTGTACTAAGTTCGTGTTTGCTGAGTGGATGCTGTCAAGCATGCTTTTTGTGCAGTGTTACCTTGGACACTTTTGAAAAGTAAACTATTGTTGTGCCAAGGGAGAGCTTTAAAAAGGCTTGTATTTCTTGCAGCTATTAACTGTAGAACATAGGGTTTTACAAGCATGTCACTATTATGAGAGTAACACCCATATTGGAAAAACTCAATTTCTATAACTTGACCAAAAGATGACATTTTTTTCAAGTTGGGAATTTAATTTCACTTGTATAGTGTCCATTGCTGGCAATGTATATGCTTCAACTTGAGGGAGTTTAAATAAGCATAATAGCTTTCAGTGAATTTGAAATCCACTGATTTTTATACAGATAGTGGATTCCAAAATCTCAACAAAGTATACTTTGAAATGTAAGGAGAATCTCAGAATTCAAGAAGTTGTCATGAATGTAATCAGTCTCTAGAGAAAATAAAAGATTCCGTTGTATATGAAAGGTCACATAAAAGTTTAGTTGAGAGCGGTCTTAGCTATCATGACAATGCATTTATTTCAAATGTTTCTTCAAATTTGATAAATACAGGTTGAACCTCTCTAGTCTGGCACCCTTGGGACCAAACTGGTGCCAAACCAGAGAATTTGCTAAACCATGGGAGGTCAATATTGTCTAGCAGCATTACCAACACTTCCGCTGCTT